CGTCGCAAAGGGAAAAGCGCGGCTTTTTTCCGCAACGTCGCGTATCTTCGCACATTTTCTCTTCAGTGGAAGAGATAACTCTATCCTCATACCTCACCATTCGCCGCCTTCCGCGTGTACGTATCGTGTATGCAGTTATCTATATATGCAGTTATAAACGTAATGAGTCTTCTTTCACATTCTCGATGGCACATTCCTATCAGTGCTCGTTTCAGACGCGAGGGTTAATAATTAATGACAGGCGTCTTACGTGCAATCGGCTTCAAATAAACTATCGCGTCCAATAGCACACACAAACACACACACAAACACACACACACACACACACACCAACAAACACACACATACACGCGTACATATACATCAGTTACGGTGTTATTGATTGCCGTACAATATAGTAGCGACCTGTGTCTTACCACACGAAGCAACTGTGCAGTTTCTCATTTCACTGTGGAAAGCTGCAAGGTCGTGGAGTAGTACACCGGCATCCGGATGCCATTAGCGCATTCCTTTCAATGTATTTCGTCCCCTTCATCTTGCACCGCTCTTCCGGCGGTTGTTATACTCGTGCACCGGCTACCAACCGACGGAAGAGTGATAAAAGAGAAAGAGAAAGAGGAGAGTGAGGCACTCTATTCTCGGACACACGCCTGTATGTACCGCTATATGTGTCCCCTTACGCGATCGACTGGTAACGACTCGTCACTCACGTATTGTTTAAAGCCTAGGCTTGATGATGTAAGACATACACGGAAAGGACGATTTTGTTAAAGTATTGAAAAATTTAATTAGATAAGAATCTGAAAATAATTTCATTGGATCGCGTTAAAATAATTATGTAACAATCTTAAGTATGATAAACGATAAGCTGTTAAAAGTTTTGATATTCTAACAATCGGCATAATTATTTAAATGGTTTAATAAAATTATTTTTACGCCCGTATTTTTTTGTTTTCTAAACGTATACTTCAGCAAAACCATCTTTTTGTGTAGAATTACGCAAACAACAATGTAAATGGACGATGAGAGTAAAAAATAAAAAAATAACGAAGAATAAGAAATAAATCATTATTTACGGTTGACCGTGAACAATGTATCGTTCCTTAAAATTTCCTTCGGTTGTATTTGTGACTTTCGTTGTGATTTCTAAGCCAGTCTTCGGAGCCAGCTATTCATTTACCACACGATAAACAGTTGCGTTTTAATATATTATGCGGTTAGTATAATCGTTACATCAAGTTTATACATTTGGCATACTAACCAGAAAGAAAGAATCAAATGGAAGACGATAGACGTTTGTCTGAATGTACAGAGTGATTAAATCGACAAAAGAATTTACAGTTATAATATCGGAGCGCCACAGCTATATCGCTCGTAGCATTTATGTGCTAAGATTGCGTCGTTTACATTTTATAATTATGAGTTATAATTGCAAATTATAAATCGCTATTGCCGCGTCTCACGTGACATTTTCATTATTCTATACATTCAAGTATAATGGCTGCATCCTGGCGAAAAAACGCTAGAATAAACAAACTTGAAAACCGATGATGCTTTCAAATCGGAAAAATATCAGTTCGAAAGTATCAGACTTCTCATCCTGTTCGAAAGAGAAAAATTATAAGGTCCCTTTAGATTCTTTTCCCTCCAGTAATAATTACGTTTTCTGTATAGCGCATCAGTGAAAGAGAAGAGAATCCGAAGAGTCTTTTACTACCGCACTTTTTTATCTTCCCCCAAGATAAAACTTTTCACTTCGTGTCAAGTAGACATATCGTTCAACACTTTTCACTGACATTGCATTTCCTTTCCATTTTTTTGGGGAAGGGAAATTCGTTATAGTCTAATAATTCAGTAATTTTTTCTTTCGAACATGTAAAGCATTCGGAGCGCCGACTTTCCTTGAGAATATCTAAGATTTTACATCCAGCTTTCGACTCGTTCGGAAACAATGAACTCGCCAAAAAGCCCTTTTATTAACGGGAGAGAAAGAACGCGCTCCACTTAAGCTACCAATCAAGGTAATTTGCATTCCACCGGTTGTTTGTTACAATCTTGAAACTAGAGTATCGCGTACGACGGTTGGCGGTTAACCCTGAAAATTATACGGGAGAACGGAATGTGGCCGGCAACGGAGAAGTTCGCGTGCATAGTGCATGTAATGCACCGTAAGTGAAATAACGCGTCTCGTATTCGAACAACCGTGATACTTGGCATCAAAATTCGTTCGTGCTTTAAAAAAGGTTTCAGTAAAACAGTCTGAATTCTATCAGTCGGATCGTTTTACTGAAATATAACGTTTCGATAAAATGGATTTTCTGTCAAAACATCTTATAAACATGTATATTCTCTCGTGTCTCTGTTATACATATTTCAAATAGAATCGAGGCATTCTCTGACGTTTTCTGCGTGACTTAATGGCATGCTCGCTTAATTAACTTTGACTGGCTTATTTGGTAAATACACACACACACACACACACACACACACACACACACACACACACACATATATATATATATACTTCTGTATTCGTACGTATATATTCGCACACGCACTTTTTTTGTGATGCAGTCCGCTCATAAATATTTTACACTCACTTTCTACTTCAGTAATATATTACAGTAGCTGCAGCGACAATCTTCGCAATAGTCAATGTACAGTTTTATTTTATCAGACGTCGTGAAATATTTGGAAAGAGCGTGACAGAAAAATAAAGAAAAGAGAGAATTATATATGCTCGCGTTGCAACCTTGGCAGTCGTAAAAACGACATGATAACAATAGTCAGTGACTAATACGTGTGCATCCATGTGCACAACCGAGCGATAATAACTAGTGGCGTAGAATTCTTTTTTTTTTTGTTCTGTGCGTTTGTATCTATAAATGTCTTTTCTTTTTTTTTTCATTCAAATAACTGAATGGAGAAAAAATTTAATTTGGTGGCATTTAATCTTTTAATATGCATATTGGCGATATGACTTGCGATTTTCTTTCATCGACGAGATCTTAGGAAAGGATCACTTCGGAGAAAAAGGTATTACCTGTCGTTTCCTGATTTGCATAATACTTCCGTCACGAACAAGTCATGCGGTGACGCGTTAACGATGTCTACGTGTCGCAACTTTCTGCTCGAAGTTATTCATCGATTAAGCAGAGATGTCACCTTCTATAAACATGTTGTTGCTTATAATTCCGAGTTTACATATTGAATAGCTTTGCATATTATTTTTCTATTCGAATATTAATTTAGCAAAAAGCATGGCGATTATGTAAAGCTTCCATTGAAAGTGCAGAGTTGACACAAACACACACATACACACACACACACACACACACACAAAATTATGTTTATTTTTGTATTATTCCACGTATAAAAATGTTATTGAAACAACTTCCAGTAATATTTTAAATAAAATTTTTTTACATTCAACATAAATAAATTATTCTCTTTCCATTCGTACATCTCTTGTAGATATTTTTCTGCGTAATACCTATCATTATACCGTTTGGAGAAATTTGTGGCGAAAGGCGAAGCTTTTTTTTATAGCTCATAATTGACGCGCTCGACGACGTGCCAATCGAGAGAGAAACCTCTGAGCGGCATTTGAATGCTACGTTCCAGTTGCGTAATAGCAGATAATTGTTCTTACGCAGTTCTCGATCACTAATTACTGAATACTGATATATACATGAATCATTCAGGATCTTCGACGACTAATAAATGGCAGTTCGTCATTTATTTGCCTCGAGTGATATATACTTGTAAAACTAAAAGAATTGAAATTACAATTGATAAAATTTAGACGACTTTCGAGGATTCGCAGGCGACACGTCGAGATCGTTTACGTAACTGCATCACGATGAAGTAAGCGAGAGTGTTAATTATAGCGACTGAGCGATTAAGATCTCCACCGTGATCATCAGTACTGACGTCTACGCAAAATCATCTCGGTGCGTTAGATATTTTTAATCCATGACTACATTTGTATCATTACAATCTACAAAGACACGTTAATGTCTTTTATAATATGCGACGTGTGTCATCCTTCTTGTCTTTAAAAATTTCTCATAAAATAATTGCTTTCAACCAGAAATGTCGCGGATAATCTTCGACAATAATAAAACTCTATTTTTTAAGTAATACGATAATAAACGTACGATATATTTTATTTGATTATACATATATTTACGTATAATTGGTGGGACCCTTCGAGCGTTAAAAAACGCCCTTTAATTTCGAACGAGAACGTTTCCTTTTGCGTTTAAGCTTTTGCTTACGACATCAGTACTAATGTGCTGCGATAAAACTTCAACAAGCGCGTGGCCGCAAAGTGTCATAACCAAGGACGCTTTTCTCGGTCGACGTAATGTACGCGACTCGCGTATTCTTCGCAATTGCAAATATCGAGACTTCTGATCAGACTTTTTTATCTGCTTTTTATGTAACGCCACTATCTTGCTTTTTTCCATGAGTTATATAAATTGCACAGATGTTATATATGTAACTAATCAATTTCTAATTATATCTCTTAAAGTACTGTTTAAAAGATATAATATTTTATTTAATTAAATAAAAAAAAAGATACTAAAAAGTTCATTTGAAATTTTGATATTTTCAAGACGTGTTGTATATGTTCAAATATCCGAAAAAACTTTTGATGTCGACGACATTAAAATCTTAAACCTTTCATCTTATTTTCACAGAGAAAATATATATATAGCAGTTTCGTTTTTCTCCATGCTTTACGCCTTTTAATGAGTTTCAGACGGTAAAACTGTCTCTTTTCTAAGAGCCGACAATAATTACTACCTAATTAGTTTGTTCTGCTACAGAAAGGTCGTTGCGTATCTCGGAGAACATTATGTCATTGTGTAATGTATGACATCTTGATTTTTTTGTTTTTATATATAGAACACATTTATCTGATTGAATTAGAAATTTTGATAGATAATTTATAATCGAACAAAACAAAAATATACTTTTGTCATCAAATTGGGTATGAATTATAATGTTATTGAATTAATTAAGAAAAGTAATTTAAGATACATCTGCTGCTATGTATTACCGTTAAGTAAAACTTGCTACGGAGAGTCGGAATTGCAACGTTTTGCAATGCAGTCTGTTTCCACGTGACATGACAACGGAACGTGAAATCGCTCGTAACTGTAGCGCCGATGTTACGCTTGGGGAAGCAAGCTGCAAGAAGATGTTTGTTAACCCAGACAAAGTCGCTGTTGCATCAACGCGATCGACCGGAAAAAGCAAAATTCATTTTGAACAATTGTCTAGCCGTAACATCATTGATAAAAGAAGAGAGGATTGCAAGAAGTTTTATCGATCGGATGATAGTTATTAATTATTCATTATATAACGTTTTCATTATTGGCAGCTGGATTGACGTTCAAAGACGCCATATTTGCCTGTTATCATATATGTGTCTGTTTTAATATAGTAAATAATATTAGCATATCATTAGTAATTGAATTTATAACCATGATGTCTCTGATAAAAAAGGTGAATATATCAATTTAACTATAAAAATGCTTCGCACTCTTTAAAGTATTTTCTTCTATTATAAAAAATATTCAGAAATCGCTCTGAACCACCTAAAAAAAGCTTCAGACAGCATGACACTGCAAGAGACTAGTCTCAAAGAAGCGATTCTAACGGGGTCTCGGCCTGGGCAACGGTTGAATCTGTTGCTGTTGGTGATGATGATATCCTCCTCTCGAATTTGGAGGCTGCGTCCGTTCTGATCCGTCGTTGAGATTCAATCCGGCAACCAGCTGGGCGATCTCGCGATCCTTCTTCTCCTCCTTTGGTAGCGCATTGCCGTTCTGCGCGCTGAAGCCCAAGGAGGCTAGACTGCCATGGCTTCTGCTACGATGTTCCGCCCGAATGCTGTAAGAAAAGGCTCTCTCGTTCAGATGACCCTTCCGTCGATATATGCCGGTACCAAAGCGGGACTCGTTTTCCGGACTATCCGCCTGCCGAGCGATTTCCGGCGCGGTGAGATCCGCATGGGAGGCAGCTAACCTTCTAGATGTGCCCAAGGTGGAGTTATCCGCCTCCGGGTGTCGTCTGCCTCTGTTCCCTGCGGTACCGTACGTGGCCGGTGGATAAATGGGTGCGGCGGTCGGCGGTACCACCGGTAAAGGAGCATAGACCGGGACTATTGGTGCTGCCGCCGGGATGGGTCTTAAACGTGGATGATGATGACTCTTCCGCGGTAAGGTGGCTGCTGGTACCAAATACATCGGCGCCGGTCTAGCCAAAGTACCGGCGACGGATCGACTGCTGGGTGGTAGTGGATGATGATGATAATGTTGCTGTCTGATAGGATGACCCAGGGTGTGATGTCCGTGGCCATTGGCATACACGCCTTGATGCAGTTGATGATGGAGGAGCTGCTGTTGTTGTTGCTGCTGTTGCTGTTGCAATGCGTCCTCGTGCAACGAACGAGTCTTCATTTTTTTCAACTTCTTATTAGCTTTTCTTCGCGCGGAAGAGGTTTCCTCCAGCAACAACGGTTGAGCGGGTGGGGGCGGAGGTGGTGGTGGCGGCGGTGGGGCAACCAACTGGCGCGGTCTGGATCCCTTCGTGCTTCGCAGGGTGCCCTGTTCCTGATAAAGACCATCGACTTCGTCGCGACCCCTGGCCCACACTTTATGATTTTCATCGCCATTGTACAGACTGAAGTCGTCGGTCGAAGCCGTGTCTAAGCGGGTCGGTTGAGGACTATCCAGAGTGGTGCTCGAGCCGCCTAAAGTGTGATAGAGACTGTTGTTCGATTGATGACCAGTCGCGACCCCGTTCGTCGTCGCCGATGATGGCTCCAGGCCTTTCGCGTAGCTGCTATCGGCATAAGCGTGGAAGCAACACCTTACCAGGGCGTTGGCCGCCATATCCCGTTTGCAGATGAACGCATGACATTCGAGTACTTTAATGCCGGTCGTTCTTCGCAGGACGGCGGCGAACAGGGGTGGATGATTCGCGCTCGGCGTCCGCGCGAACGGCGAATCCAACGGCAGGAAACGTGTATTCGATGTATCTCCGTTTCCACCTTTGACATGTCTAACCGCCGCACAATAGTGAAGCGCTTCGATAGGGAAGAATCGCGTAATTTTTTTGCGATGTTCGTCAACATTCTCCAAGAGTAAGCCATTGCTCCAAACGCTTAGCCAGGAGTCAATTCCGCGCGCACCCAATGCACCCTGCTCGGGATAAAGTTCTCTCAGAGGCTCCTGAACGCCCAGGAGTCCCTCCTTGCTCGCATGAGGTACTGAACTACCCAAATAGAGTACTCTACAGCGACAATACGGTGTCGCCGTATCCTGATTAGCTCCCCTCATTTTTTTTATTCGGCTCAATTAACTTATCGATCGAGAAAGATTCAATCAAATTGAATTTCGTGATACAATTTGGAAACTCCGAACGCAATTAACATTCAATTAATAATCAGAAAAACTATCTTTAACAATCCAGTTGCCGTAAAAAATCAAGAACTTTGGTTTAATCCGGTTTAATCCGGTTAATTCTTATTAGATAATTACTTTTAATTTTCGAACAGAAGCATAATATTATCATACGCGAGTCAATCGCGTATTTTATAACATAATACGTATTTTAAAAATGATCTAGAATTGTTCTAAACGAAGAAACCATTCGAGGAGATTTCAACGCGTGGTACGCCGTAGATTTTATGACAAGCGTCGATCTTCCCGATTGGCGACAGCGATATGATTTTTTTTTTTCTTAGTTATAATATGATTCCCATCAATTATTATCTGGAGAATCGTTTCCCACGCGTAACATAGACTCGCGGATGTGACTCAGGAGCTCATCGAGCGATTATGTTGCGTCGAGACTCCGCCTGGTAGCACTCGATTACGCAGTCGCTGCTTTCCAAAGACAGGCGGATAAGCGGTGTGTACACGATGCAGCGCATACACGTCGTCGCAGCGCAGCGTTGCA